AGTTACTGTAATCATGATTATGTCTGTTCTACTTGATTTCAGGGCTACACCAAGTCCATAGACATCTGGTCAGTGGGTTGCATCCTGGCTGAGATGCTGTCCAACAGGCCAATCTTTCCGGGGAAGCATTACTTGGATCAGCTTAACCATATTTTGGGTAAAAATAAACTTTGCATGCAGTAAACATGTAGAACTTTCCATTTTTAAAAATTCAAATGAGTTGTGTTGATGCGTAAGTCCACAGAGGCTGACATTTAGCCCATAGGCCACAAAATTAAAGCCTCCTGCAAAATGAATCTGCCAGAACGGATCAGAGATGTTAGGGTTAGGTTATGGGTCTATAAGTCAAACACACATCTAGATGAATCCCATGATCCCCACAAACCGCACACACCTGAGTCACTTCTATTGCTCCATTGTTCAGCTCAGGTGGTGGCTGGGGTTCAGCTGGGGCTCTGTGGCTGTGTAGTGCATTGCTTTGTGGGTCTATCATAGCAAGCATTGAGGTTTTCTCCAGTTTGAGCAACAGTGGCCATGTAATCAGTAAACGTCTGCACCGGTTACTGGTTATTCCAGTTATTCCCTCTTGGATTCCTTTTGCTTGGTACTCGCTGCCTCATACTGGGAACCTGTTTTGTTTTGGAGATGGTCTGACCAAGCCGAGTCCTCCATGATGAACTTTGTTTTTCCTGATAATGAATTTGTTTGGTCTGTATTTGTTTGGTAGTACAGTGTATCATTATGGTGTGACTCAGCTGCGTTATTTAGTCTGTAAGAAAAACTTTAGACTTCACACTCAGTCGCAACAGCTTCCTGGTGCCAGTCCATAGATACCGTAGACACTAATATGTCCTTATCAAGTCGGACTTTTTTGTCTCTTGGTGCTAGACCACATGTTGCTTCTCCCATCTGTCCGTTCGTTGTGCGGTCTGAATGTTTTTGTCCGTTTTTTGAGAACTTTTAGCGGAGGCTCTGCAAATTGTTACATATCATATCATTTATCATTTTACATATCATTTATTTATCATAAAAGAACAAAATCTGATTGTCTTTATGATTTTCTATTTGTCCTCCAGGAATTCTGGGTTCTCCCTCACAGGAGGATCTCAACTGCATCATCAACATTAAAGCCAGGAACTATCTCTTGTCACTGCCTTTGCGCTGCAAAGTGCCGTGGAACCGTCTCTTTCCCAACGCTGATCCAAAAGGTAAGAGGTGGAATCTCACCATAACCGCAGTATTTGGTCATCAGGGGATTAGTAAATGTTAAACATTTCCTGAGAGAATTTCATTTTATAGAGCGGGGAGAAAAATGATTGCCTACACCTGGCTCACCTCATACACATCACATTACATTCATGTTGTGTCTACTTCTTTGATGACCTGTGCCCTGCCACAACACACAGCAGTCACAGTAGTCACAACATCTGGACTTTGGGGCTCAAACACGCTCACTACACTCTAATGATGTTTTTGCAGGTTCAGTTGGTTTTTCTGTGCATGATGCTTTTCTGTCTCCTTCACTGCTGAAATTAAATCAAATCATTCATAAGAACAGTGCTAATAAAGGCAGAGTGCCATTTCAACATGGTGAGAAAAGCTTTAGTAAAATCTTTGGTAATCACAATGTGAGTCCACCAACAGGCAGCCTGAAGCCAAATTCAGAGAGAAGCTGATGATAATATTTACACAGTGTAAATTTGAGTTTACTTAAGAAAAACGTCCTCAGAAGCTGTAAAATTCACAGAGAGAAGCTGAATGATGGATTTGGTCAAACTCAAGAACTGTGGCCAAACCTTTACTCGGAGCACAAAAGCAGTGCAGGTGGATGACGCGATGCTGCTCTTAAATCCTTTTCTGTTTACAACACTTCACAATGAGTCACCACATATTCACCGTATCACCATGACATCTTCCAAACTGATATCATGCAGTGACACAGGCTAACACAGATCTTTATTAGAGCCATCCTGCAAATTCAGTAAGCTGAACCCCTCATTGTCACACAGTATTAAGGTTGGATGAAGGTTGGATGAAGAGATGCATCAAATTCGTGTTCAGTAAAGAGCTGATCAGAGGTGGACCGACAGACTTTGGTGTCAAAGGATGGTTTAAAAAAATGATAACATGTTGGATGTAGACTAGGACCTCTAGTGGACAGACAAGGATATTGTTGTTGTTTCAGAGTCACCTACAGTAAGTCCATCTTTGTGTTACAGCTCTGGACCTGCTGGACAAGATGTTGACCTTTAACCCTCACAAGAGGATCGAGGTGGAGGAGGCGCTGGCACACCCCTACCTGGAACAATACTACGACCCCACAGATGAGGTGGGTCAGGAATCTTGTGCTATATGGATCACCTGGGTTCAAAAAAACAGCACAACTTTTGTTATTTTACAAGATGATTGAAGAGCAGATTTCCAGCTTTAATTCAAGGAGT